CAATTTCATACCTAAATGTATTTGGATCATGGATATCAGTGGAATCCAGGATTCAAGTTTCATTTTATTTAGGACTCATCAACCGAGTACAGATGCACTGCAAAACTGATTTCGAAATTAAGACTTGAACTAGATACTTTTTCTTTCAGGAACAATCTCATAACTCAAAATTTTTTATACACTCAAAAATCAATATAACAGTTGCCTTAACATAATGAATGAAAAATTAGTTATATATTCTTATTAATCAAGATCTTGAATGAGGAGTATTTACTTGTTTTGGATAATTTGTCATCATGTCAGTTTTTCTTTCATTAAACTGTATGATTTTAAATAAGCACTGTTGATTATTATTTTTATTATTATTATTATTATGGAAAGCTTTTTCAACTTTAAAATAATGACAAAAAAAACAGGTTGAAGTGTTTTGAAATTGAATCTTTACCAAGAACTGATAAAATCTCAGAAAATAGATGAAAAAAAATATGAATCATTCAATACATACTTACTTACTTACTTACGCCTGTTACCCCCAATGGAGCATAGGCCGCCAATCATTCAATAGGTAATTTTATACACAATTGCATTAGAAATCAACTAGGTTTTTAGATCTATGAGATTTACAAGAGATAGAACTAAAAATCTTTAGGTATTATATTTTACATCATGTCATTCACTAACTGGAATAAGATTTAAAATAGCCCATTTTTTTTCCATTTGAATCGATGATACTGGACATAGTTCATAGTGCAATAGTTAAAAGATATCGTTGCTGCTTCTTTTCATAGTGATTTAGTTAACTTTGGATGGTTTTTTCTAGTAGAGAAAAATTAGAGTTTCAAAAATATGTAGTGACTATCAACCAACCGTCTAATTAAGAAAAATTAATATCAGTTAGATTAGTGTAATAATAGTTTGTAGGATAAAACAATTGATGTTAACAGTTGACTTTCAAGTTCAAATTCTAGTTCATTTTGAGTTAAACAGAAGTCGAAAGTTTAGTTCAAACCATATTAGGCAAGTTTATACTTGAAAGTTGAATTTCCACTGGTTTCATCCACTTAGGACGGTTTTTATAATGAAAATAATCCACTATTTAGTACGTTTTTGTTTATATTTAGTATTGTCGAATAATGTTAAGGCCAAAATCAATCAACCTTTTTTGCTGTATGCTATTCTTAGGCAAATTACCTTGACGCATGCATATTTACGTCACAAGTTTTAGTGTATTTGAGATATAGCTAACAGTGCAATTTACGAACAGTGTTTTATTTCATTTAGAACTTATTGGATGAGTGTGCATACATACCAGTGTTGATATTAACACTAAGATTCAAATCCACTATTCATCATTATGAACACTGATGAGTTAACCTATAAACTACTGAGTTCAGTTAATCACATACTTACTTGTTCAACGAATATGAAGTTATATACAGGCGTTTGAATTTTATTGTGGTTGATATCCAAAATTGAAGATAAACGTCAACGGTGGTATCCAAGTACAATCAGCTGACGAGTCGTCGAACAGTAGAAGTGGACGTCACAGATTTCAACTCTCGACTTATGTCAAATATATTAAAAGATTCTATTTATAGAAGATAAAAATATTCAATCATACAAATGAAGGTTAGACATTTTCGTAAATTGAACTGAAAATTCCGTTAACTAGAAGAGAATTTTCGGACAAAATAAACAGACATTGTTCTTGAATTTCACAAGCAATTTTATAAACTATTAAAACTATTCTTAACCTACATCTATCAGTCAAAATCAGTTAACATTATTCGAATACGTTTAATAACATAAATCTTAATTCATCACTGATCTTCTATGCTTGTTTCTTATAATCATGGTGGAACTCAAGAGCTTAAAATAATATTGAATATAATTTAAGATCGATAATAAGTTCCTATTAAATTGTTATCAAACAATAAGATGCACCATTTAAATGAATGACAATTATCTTGACTGTATGCTTTTGGATTAGCCAATTGTTGATATTTCGACTGATATTTGATCACTGTTCGTTGACATATATGCTCTGCTGTGCAGATTGTTTTGATATAGTCATCATAACAAAATTCATATAGATTAGATGGGATGTAGCTATTTGTAGAATTAAGGGCACACGTTTCGTTCCATTCGATACTCGTCGAGTAAATGTACATACATACATTCACACAAATTCCTACTCAGTGCTTTTCAAGTAAAACTTTGAGGCATTATCCATATTGGTTCATTTACGATTTGAGATTAAATTTTCATTCAATATTATCAGTCATTGAATAATTCTCTCCATTAACAAAATGACTAGATTTTATAAATCATAATTACCCAATTGAACTTTCTCGAGATCCATGTGAAAATGAATCAGTAGGAAGGATATATATCATCACTGTTTGATAGAATGGTTTAATATCACTGATAAAATGTCAATAAAATATTAGGAGTAGACAGTCGTCCAGTGCTTCTAAGTTTTCCATGGTTGTCAAACTTAGATTAGTTCATGATTTCAATGAAATAAAATGTGTAATCAGTAATTCATAACTCATTGTTTGATGTTGACTTAAATCAGAGGTATAAACCACTTAAACTAATCACCAATAATCGCTTAATCGATCAATGTTTATCACTAAATTTTTGTGCAAATCAAATAAGTAGAACATTTTTTATGGATCGATCATTAGTTATGGCTTTTATCAAACAATATGAAATGATTTATATACATATCTATCTTATTCATCGTATATTTGACAGATATTCAGGTGCTTGATGGTGATTATTAGACAACGTTTAGCATTAACAAAAAAGTCCATTAAGTGATGATCTTTATCGTTTGTGATCAGTAACTCATTGTATCGTCTGTAATCTATTATAACTTCATTGAAATTGAAAATATTGATTCAATTTTAATTGATATGTTACTCATTTTTATTACACTCTTTTACAACTCCATTCGAATGCAAGGATACGTACATTAAATGTTAGCCAGAGTAAAAGTGGGGTTACGGAAGGCTAACAACGAACGGACTAAAACATGGCTTCAGTTCATGAAATCAGTAAATGTTGATCTGGATAATCTTAGTAGATAGGTTTAGACCATCTAGTTAGAGTCAGAACAGTCATCTTGATCAAAGGTTGGAGTCATTTAGTGATATGATCCAAAGTTGGTCACAACAACAAAGATGCAATTGCTCTTTGTCTTGTTGTAGTGCCTCCACATATATTCCAGTTCGCTTACATTTAATTTGGTTAAGCTCTTTCAATTATTTAATTCAACCAAGCCAATTTGTATTGCAACAATTTATATGTACCATTCGCTCTTATTATTGTCTAGTTTGTATGAGCACACATGACGTGTCCCACTTGTCATTTGACCTTGTCAACCATTCGTCGCTTTTATTCATGTGTGTGCATGCCTATCTTGTTGATCACATGTCTGTCTGATTTTTGTCTGACTATATATTCTTAGTTATGTTCTATTTCTGGGAGTTGGCGCTTCGCCTGTTCATTCGCTTCCTCCGCCCATTCGTTCGCATTGTAATCCTGGGAGTTGGCTCAACAGCCTTGTCCAATTCATGTCGCTTCATTCGTTTTATTCGCTGCTTCTCAGATTCGCTTTTTGGTGTGTACCAAATGAATGTATTCATCACTACTCGTTCACCTTCTGATTTATAAACCGTCAGACGCAACAACGTACTGTGGGAGAGAACAAACCAGATTCCATTGGAAGAGGAAATCAGGAAGAAGCGGTGGAAGTGGATAGGACACACACTACGAAAAGCACTTAACTGCGTCACAAGGCAAGCCTTAGTTTGGAACCCTCAAGGTCAAAGGAAAAGAGGAAGACCAAGAAACACATTGCTCCGAGAAGTAGAGAATGATATGGAGAAAATGAAAGAAAATTGGACAGGACTGGAGAAGGAAGCCCAGGACAGAGTTGGTTGGAGAAAACTGGTGGGCGGCCTATGTTCCATTGGGGGTAACAGGCGAAAGTAAGTAAAGTAAGAAGCTAGTCTGTAACGATTGTCTGGACGAGCTAATTACCGAGCTTAAGAACACACACTATATTCTATTAGGACTTGGGTTTTAAATTATCCTGTACTTCTTTATTTCAGAAACCATATTGTCGTTGACTGATGTTTCCTATCAATATCAAGAATGGTACTACTGTTACTGCTTTGCTATTTATCTTAATAAATTCACCTTACTGTACTGATATGGTATGGCAACTTGAATCAATGCAGATCTATAACTAATTCCTTGTTTCTTATAACTTAATAACAGTTGAAGATTGTCAAATTAGTAAGAACTAGCCATCCAGAACTCAATTTACTTTTAATGATAGCTTAAATAAAGTCAGTCCATCATATGAAAGATTTTCAAAAAAACTGAACAGCGTATTCAAATATTCTAATCCTGATACGATTCAACTAATCTATTTGAAAAAATTTTTTCTCCTCATGATTTACATAAAGACATTGATAAAACCTATTCGCCTTTCAACAAGTAAGAATTTATACCGATGATTATCAAAAACATATTCACAATATATTTATTTACAAACAATAAAAATAAAATAAAAACTTCATTTTGGATATATATGTATGAATAAAGAATAGAGTAAAACAGTAAAATTATTCGGGAAAAATAAAAAACAGAGGAAAATTAATCATTCCCGAATTCAAACAATGATCGGTTTTCATTTTCTTCAAACACATGAAAGTTTTATTTCTTTAAATCCAAAGTACAAGATAAAAATGCAATGAACTTTGACATAATTGATTAGGAGGTATTCATTGAAGAGAGAGAGAGAGAGAACACAACTAAAGTACATTATTAAATATGCTCACTTTAGGATGCAGTTTTTGTACAGGTACTTCCATGTGTCATTGTTTGTATATTTCGTCAAGTTAAGGAAGTTACAATAGTGTGTAACAAAGACTGTGATGATTAAAGTTGGCAAAACTTTGATTTCATCGTCAATAATGTTGTTATCACATGGTATATTCGTTCACATTCTCTTCAACATTAAAATGAGATGAAGTGTTTAAAGGTGTATGACCATCAATGATAATATTATTATCCTTGAGACTACTACTGACAAAAGTGTTAGTAGTATTTGTAAGGATAGTTGTGGTAGTAGTGGAAGTAGTATTTGTTGTGTTAATATTTGGATACTGTTTATCCATTGATTTAATTGTATTGTGTTCAGTGTTCTCATTGATAACTGTTGTTGTTGGTGGTGTTGTGGCTGTCACATCAGAATGTGTACGTATATGTTTATTTAAATGATCACTACGAAGAAAACGTTTATGACAAATAGGACAAAGAAAACGTTTTTCACCAGTATGTGTACGTAAATGACGTTGTAATTCATCAGAACGTGTAAATCTTTTACCACATAATAACCAATTACACACGAATGGACGTTCACCTGTATGCCATCTTAAATGGGCTTTTAAATGACTTGTTTTATTGTAAACTTTACCACAACCTGGTACATGACAATTATGTAAATTTTTTCGTCTTAATTCACTTGCTACATTTGGATTAGTTAAATTTAAATGATCTAATTCTTGACAATTAGGACAATCACATGTTGGTCGACCAATATATCGTTTAACTGTAGTTGAATTATTATTATTATTATTATCATTACTATTATTTAATGTTGATAGTGATGACGATCTTGAAGGGATGATTGAATGTTCAATATCTAATGATATTTTTGCTTCACTGGATAACGATGATGATGATGGAGATGGTGACTGAGCTAATACATTTTTAGACATAGTTATCGATGTGTTGAATGGATTTTCATTTTCCATTTGACTACTAGTGAATATTGAACATTTCGGTTCAATGTTCAAGTCTCTGGTGCTAATTGGATTATTATTATTATTATTGTTAGCAGAGAGAAACGTTTCACATAGTGTTGTATATTCAGATTGTCCTGATGAGTTATTATTATTATTATTAAGATGATAATTGTATGTTGGATATTGAACACCAGCAGCGGCCATTAAGATTGATTTATAAGGATCAGTTGTGTTTAATAGATTACACATATTATTTGACCAAAAATTCGGTGTATTCGCATTAAAATTTAAACATCCATCTCCAATAGACATTGATGAACAAAATGTTCGTCTAGCAGCATCTATTTCAGAATTTGTATACAAATAAGATTCAATTGCATTTTGATCAATAATAATTCTATCTTCAGTTGTTGTTGTTGTTGTTGTTAGAAAACAATGTGGATTGTTTGCATGAAGATTTAACGATTGATTTCGATCGCTCATCTGATCAATATGATCAATATTGTAAACAGATTGATCAATTGAACAAGGATGATTTTGAATTGAATGACATGTAGAATTAATTACAGGAGAAGCTTTATCATCAATGGTATCATCATATGAAAATCTATTATTTACCCAAGTATGTATATCACTTAACCAATTTGATTGTTGTTGTTGCTGGTGTTCAGTTTTCAATAAATCAGGTTCTGTTATGTAACCAATACTACGTTTACTGTGATCATTCAATGTATCAATGCTATGATGACTAGTGTTATAATATTCTGACCATGGTAAATGCTGTTGATACATTTCTGGATGATAATGTTTATTTGAATGTTCAGGCATATGATCATCAGCACATGAACTATAATAATGATGAAGATGATATGGCATACTTGTAGGATTTCGATTCAATTCAAAATTTTCATTGATTGCCTCATTATGAGTTGATGGACTTATACTACTATTACTACTTGTATTATTACTAGTAGTATTGGTAGTAATTGTAGTAACAGTTGTTGTTGTAATAGTATTAGTCCCAATAAACGAATCATTAATATTACTGTTAATACTTGTACATATTAAATTGTCCGAATTTTGTAATCGATTTACATAAGATGACATAATTAATGAATTACAATAATTTTCATCTTTTAAATTAATAACTTCATCATCATTTCTATTTCGATTACAATGTTTTAATAAAAATTGTTGATAATATGTATTTGATAATAAATTATAATTTGACGAGAATGTTGTTTTATTTTCTTCATTTACTATTGAACATGATGATGTTAAGAGAGGTCTAGAAGGTATGAATGATTGAAAATATTTATCATTTGATGAGAATTCTTTTAATTCTTTAGATATATTCATTTGTGATTCATTTGGTTGATAAATACAATTGAATTCATTGTGTACAGTCAAGTCAGGCTGATGACTATTAGTTGATTGTGGAGTGAAATTTGAATTTGTCGTATTTGTGATAGCAGTTAGAGGATCTGTATAATTTGAAGAGTATTCTGTCATACAAGGTTGTGTAACTGGTATAATAGGTTCATGTGTTTTCCATAAAATATTTGATGATAAATTTACATTACATAAGTGATTATCTTTAGTTTCATCCTCTGAAGAAATTATTTTCTCTCCCTTAGATATAAGTACGGATAAAATGGGATTTTCATTTAAATAAGTTGACATAATTCAATGTTGTAAATTCCTGTAAATGTAAAAGTAAGTTTACAAATGTTAATTAAATTTCCACCCTACTATAGATTAAACCTTTAGAATTAGTTCTCTGGTGAAGTCATAAATAAGAAATGTAGAAGTCCCATCCTGGAACAAAGCAATGACCCAGTGCTGTCTAGTTTTCAATGATATCCCAACTAATATTCATCAAAACATTTCGTTGTTCAATAATTACATTAGCCTTAACTAGTCCAACTTACAATAAAATCAATAGCAGTCAATTAGCGATGAGTTAAATCAATAATAGGAAATTTCTTTTGTTTTTCATTTCGACAAAACTCAACCTAACTCATGCAAATGACATCACATTAGAAGTATTACACATGAAATTGGCGTAATTAAAGTGACAATCAGATTTCATGTCGTCATTATTGTCTTATGTAAAAGAATTTAATTATTCTATTCACAAAAAAGAAACCCCAATGAAAATTTTAACAACAGGTGTCATTGCTTTAAACAAACTGTAAACTAGTAGAGAGAAAAAAAATAGAAGATAATCAAGCTTTATAAATCATTTTCTATTTAACGAACAACAAAAAAAATAAAAATTATCTCTTTCCTTCCTTCTCTTTTCTTTTCTTTTCTTGTTTTAACTGAATAACAAATTTCGTGATTGAATAATAATATTCATTGTGATAACATATGTCAACTATACATAAACCAATGTGTATTTGGCTTCCCTTTTTTTTTAAAATGTTCAAATCGTTGATTGATGTGTCAACAAGTCATCATCATTAGTTCAACTTAAATAAAGTATCATGTTAACACTCCGATTGATGAATGCATGCAACAGTTAATATCATTAATTAGTCAAGCATAAATTTATTAAGACACATGAAATATTATTTGTCTAGTGTGATTAGTACTAATTGTGGATGGAGCTCGTAGATGAGCTGACACACACATACATACAGACACACACACACACATATATAAAAGCCCAATAAGACATTGTGTGTGTATCATATATTCTTGTCTGTGTGTGTATTTTTACTGAGATATTTGTAGATATTATTTAATGTTGAACATTGATTAGATTTTCAATGAACATGGTTCCTCTTCACATTGAAAAGCACATTCATGTTCATTTTAAAAGTGAAAAATATTTTATTTCTCTTATTTAGTAGGTACATAGAAAAGAAAGAAATACATAAGAATAATTCTTTGTTTTTTTTCTAAATTAAATTCAGTGCACCATAATTGAACACTGAATAGATCAAGTATTAGACCATTGGACAGCGATTGCTAAATCTGATGGTTTATAAAAATGAAACTCATTACGATTGTGAATAATTAAAGTGTACAATTGAAATTATCTATTATTGTAAGTCTCTCACTTTTCTATTAGCATTATGGAGATCATTGTTTTTACACATAGAAATCATGAACCAATCATTGTTAGACCACCAATAGAAAAAAATGGAAGGACTGGACGGTCGTTTCATCCTGGCATGGGACTCATCGGCAGTGCGCATCCACAACTCCTGCTACTTGTAGGATTCGAACCCAGAAACTTTTGCTCTTGCGCGTGAACGCCCAACCTCTGAACCACTGAGCCTGCACCCAACTGTGTAGTATGTTTAATTCTGATCAATCTAGCGACGAAACGGCCGTCCAATGCTTTCAGGTTTCTAATGGCTATCTAACAATGATTGATTCATGATTTCTCTGTAAGTCTTTCCATCAGAAATAACTCATTTTTTAAAAATCATAGGAAACAGGGGGATAAAAAATTGCACACCGAAATATTTACAATTAGGTTATAGTAGTTGTAAACTGACACAAAAACAGATTGATTTAACTGTCTACAACTAAAATAAAGGGAATAATTTGAATAAGTTTTTAAAATGATGTGCAAATCGACCACTTTTTTTCTCGTTACTTAACAGTTAAATGTATTAGCTAGATTGCTTTTTAAAGGTTAGACAATAAATATTTCATTCATCCGGGAAGTAAATCAAGCATCTCCTATGGGATAAGATAATCATATTTTAGAACAGTTGGTCTGATTTTAGAAGTCTAAAGAGTCTACTGTTGTAACAAGACTGTCAGCTATTGTATCTAACAGTAACAGAGTTATGACTTCATTCTGTTGAGTAGTTCTCTGTTAGGATGAGACCACTGGTCAGTGCTTCCTAATTTTCAGTGACGCATATAACCCGTGTCATTCCATGATGGAAATCACTTACCTTTACAAAACTCATTGACAAAAGAAATGAGTTATTTATCAGAAAAAATCTCATCGGTTATTTATTATTGAACAGTTTCAAATTAGAATAAAACTATTAGTGAACATGAACAATGAGTTCTTAGGTGATGATGTTAGTTTATGATGGTAATTACTTGAAATGTAGGAAGTAATAAATACTAAGATTGTTCATTATTGTCAGATATATCATATAATAATTTATGACAGTAAATTCATACAGCGCATTTTCTGATAAAAGTCTATTACACTTTGAATATATATATTTCTCATATTTTTTAGTTCGATAAGAAGAGGATGTTTATCGATTTCGAATAAAACTAAAAAATGAGTTTATTTTCGAAAGAAAAAAAACCCTGTTTTTAATGTTTATTGTAAATACTGGGAATGATACAGGTTTTTGTTAATGGTTATCAATACAAGATACTGTGAATCTATTGGCTAGACACCACCAGCAACATTCTATTGTGGGAGAGAAAAAAAACCAAATCCCAGCTGAGGAACAAATTAACAAACAACACTGGAAGTGGATAAGACCCGCATTACGAAAATCACCCAACTGCTAGGCAGGTCCTCACTTAGAACTCTGAGAGCTTGAAGAAAAGCAGAAGACCAAAGGAAACATTACGCTGAGAATCAGACACAAATATGAACAAAATGAATGGCGATTGGGTAGAACTGGAAAGAAAGACTGAGGACAGAGTAGATTGGAGAATGTTGGTAAGTGGCCTATGCTTCATTCAAGCTAACAGGCGTAAGTAATCATATACCTTATAATCTATATATTTGTATACACTGAAAAATGTGCATTTAACCATGTTGTTTTATTACATAAATTAGTAAGTACAACTAATATACATCATTCTATTTGTTGTAAATAACGATTTAACATGTATGCTAAATTTTCCACTCATTGACAATTGACTATTATGAATTGAACTAATTAACCACTTAGTAAAAAAGACAAAAAATTTGACACTCAATTGTTGACATGATTTTTGGCTTGATAAATAGGTAAAAACGTGTGTTAATTGTACCGTTTTTTTGTCAATATACACAACCAAAAAAAAAACTTAATTCAAGGATTTTTTTGACTTGTACTTCATTTTTAGATAAGTGTTTGATAATTGTATAATTGAAGTGTGTTCAAAGTTTTGTTTTGTTTTTTTGAGAGAGATAAAAAAAAACACAATGTTTTAAATAATTATCTACATAAGTACTTTGCATGGAGTTCAAGAGAAATTGTTCACGAATAAGATCACAAATCGATCCAAGTTACACTCATTGATAAGAAAGAAGTACTGCATCCTATCATAAAAAAACTCAGTAACAATTTACTTCATGTATTAGGATAAAACAAAGATTTAGTGCTTTTGATCTTCAACAGTTATCTAACAGATTTCATTCTGTTATCTCAAAAAAACATTTAACAATCTTTACACACTTGCATTTTAAATAATTGTTAACATCCAAAGTGAGTAGTTATTAACGATTCTTGTTACAAGTTGTATAGTCTATAGATTAAATCATAGAAAAAATGAAATTGTATCAGAAATTTGATATTGAAACTAGAAATTTTTTTAATACCTTCTCCCTGTCCACTAGGCTGTCGAACTCCGTCATCAGCTGCCCGGTGACCGTCTCCCATGTCGTCTCCCAGCCAGCACCGTCCAAGATGTCATATACGACCTTTGCCCTACCTCTATGAAAGCTGATATTTTGCATTATAAAAACACTATCATTCTCATAATACATGGAATGGAAAACAACTTTTGTCAAAGGCAGAAAATAATCCCTCCCTCTATATAATTATAACACCTATATTTGTATATCAATTATACTGGCATTTGATTATTACACATTTTTGAAAGCATGAATCGATCAATGTTAGACCACCATTAGAAACCTGGAAGCACTGGACGGCCGTTTCGTCTTCAGTAGTGCGCATCCACGACTCCTGCACCCCGCAGGATTCGAACCCGTTTTCTAATGGTGGTCTAACATTGATCGATTCATGCTTTCAAAAATGTATAACTTAACAATCTTCACAACCCCGTAATTTGATTATTAGTTAACGAATGTTGCATAGAACCATAATAAGAGTAGTACAAACTAATACTTTACACAGAATTCATAAATAACAAATACATGATGTATGTTTTATATTGCGCAAAATGCCTACTAATTGACTGAATAAACAAAGAATAATATACTAACCAAATCATTCTATTCAGTTAAATTATGAATTTTATATTTTTATTCAATGCTGACTGTTCAATATTCAATTTCACTGCATTAATTGAATAATATTTTACTTCTGAATCAAAGTTAAAAGTTATTCATTAAAAAAAACAATATATTAACTCTTATTGAGAATATACGCATTGATTAAGGAGATATAAATTAAAAACTAGAACTTCATTCAAACACTCATTATTCTAGCTAAAACACTAGAAAAACAGTTTGTTTGTTTGTTTGATTGGACAGATAGTGGTGGAGAAGACAAATAATTTTATTGCAGTTACATTCACTGAGTTGAAATAAATGTAAACTATTCAAATTTCTATGCATTTACATAATAATCATAACTGGTTAGTTTATTTGTGTACATTAATAAATAATTTTTATTCAGAAATATATTTTTTTTAGAAATTTCGTCTTGATACTTTCTTCATTTAAATAAAAAAATAATTTCCCTTTTTCTGTGCTAAATGATTAATCTGTGTTTTTCCTCATGTATCATATA